TAGGCTGCAAGAGTGCCTGTCTGGGGCACACAAGTGGGGCTCGAAATTTCCACTGCCTTCTGAAACCTGCATGCTGTTCCCGACTTGAGTCAGTGACCAGCAGCCTAGGCTGTTGGATCTCCCTCCCAGGCTTGCTCTTGGCAAAACCTGGTGGGCTGGGTGTGCTCCATCGGCTGTTGGAGCATGTGCACGATTCCCAGCTTCAGTGGGACCAGTAGCCCAGGTGAGAGGGCGGGGTCCGGGTCAAGCACTGGTCTCCCGTGTGTGATGGGTTGTCCTCCTTGGGGTACTCACTGATCCTGGAACTGGTTAAGGGCTGTCCAGAGGTGGCAGATCCCTGGATCTGTGTGCTGTAGATCACTAGTTGTCGGTCTCTACCTCGTTCCATTGTGATTATTGTGGGCTGAGCAGCATGGAGGTAGGAGATCCTGGTCTGAGTTTCATGGTACCTTGCCTCTGGTCTCAGTCTCTGCTCCACTGGTCGAGTTTGGTGCAGGGAGTCCTCTGCCTTTGGGTTCTACAGTCCACTTGTGGCTCTGAGTCCCAGGCAGCCACGGGCAGGCCACTTTTGTGGCTTGAGGGGTGGAGGGGGTCTCCGTGCTTTACAGTCTTTGTGCAGTTTTTTTTCCTTTTGTTTCAGTTCCTGTATTTTTCTGGTTCTTTGCATTTTTGTTGTCTATCTCTTGGGGGAATTGAGTGTTGGAACTCAAACTCACTATTTGGTTGGAAGGAGTTGTGATGTTTCCCTACTGTTTTGTCACCATCTTGGATCCTCTCTCTCAATGCTGTTTTGATTTGCATTTCTTTTACAAACAGAGATGTTGAACATCTCTTCATGTATCGATTGGCCATTCTTATTTCTTTTTTGGATAAGTCTCTAGTTAAGTCTTTAGCCCATTTATTAATAGAAGACCCTGAATAGCAAAAATAGTCCTTACAGAAGCACAAACAGTGCTGGAGGGATATCAAAACCAACCTTCAAACTCTATAATAAAAACAGCTAAGTACTAGCACAAGAATAGCCCTAAGGGGCTGGGAAGGTGTCTCAGTGGCAGAGTGCTTGCCTTGCATGCATGAGGCTCTGGGTTTGAGTCCTCAGCACCACGTAAGCAGAAAAAGCTGAAAGTGGCTCTTTGGCTCAAGTGGTAGAGCACTAGCCTTGAGCTGAAGAGCTGAGGGACAGTGCCCAGGCCCAGAGTTCAGGCTCCACATCCACCTCCCCCACAAAAAAAATAGGCTTGAGAACCCAATGGATTACAGACCCCGAAATGAACCCACAAACCTATAGACATCTAATTTTTGATGAGAGCCAGAAACACAGATGAAAGACAGCTTCTTCAACGAATTCTGCTGGCAGAATTGTTTATACATGTACAGAAACTAAAGTTAGCTCCTTGTATATCATGCTTCACCAGAATCAACTCCAAATGGATCAAAGACCTTAATGTAAGGACAGATATCCTGAAAATATTACAGGAAGAGATAGGGGAAACACTCGGGTTCCTTGGCACAGGTTGAAACTTCCTAAGATCCAAAATCACAACAAATCGAAGAAAGGCTGGATAAATGGTATTGCATTAAACTGAAGAGTTTCTGCATGGCAAAGGACATAGCTTGCAAGATAAATAGCCCACATGATGGGAGAAGTTCTTTACTAGCTATGCATCAGAAAAGGGCCTCATATCTGAAATATAGAGCTCAAAAAATTAAAAGAAACAAAAACCCATTTAATAAATGGGCTGTTTTTTTCCTGAATATTTTCTTTCTTTTTTTTTCGGGGGGGGGGTTCCAGTCGTGGGCCTGAACTTTGGGCCTGGGCACTGTCCCTCAGCTCTTCAGTTCAAGACTAGCGCTCTACCACTTGAGTCACAGAGCCACTTCTGGCTTTTTTTTTTGCTTATGTGTTGCTGAGGATTCGAACCCAGGGCCTTAAGCATGCAAGGCAAGGGCTCTACCACTGAGCTACCTTCCCAGCCCTTTCCTGAATATTTTCTAAAGATAATTCTGGAAAGTGTTTTAGTTCAGTTTTGTCCAGGCTAAAAAATTTAAATAATTTAAAAAAGTTCTGTAAGTCCTATTATTCTTCTAATGTCAGGCTTTTGCAGGTACATGGAAGGCTTGTACTCCTCTAAAGTTTCATCAAGGATCTTAATGTGTTGGCATCAGAGTAGATCCTCTTGGAGATCCTCATGAGGGCAGAATCCCATACAGGGAATTGAGTAGCATCCTTGTAAGACCTGGTACTTCTATTATGTGACAATACAGCAAGAAAGTGGTTGTGTCCAAGCCAGGGCTGGACAGATGAGCTGCCAGACACCAGACTCATGCTACCTTGATTTTTGGATTTCTGAGCTTCAGAACCATGAGACATGTTTAAGCTATGCAGTTCATGGTGGGTGTTGGATTTTTTGTTGGGTAAAAATATTTCAAATGTATTTGGATGCATTTTAGAATTTGTATACTTCATAGTAATTATTTCTATAATCAGAAAATACAATGTAATATACAGTATATAACTTTTTAAAAATTTGTTAAAGCTATATTGTATTTAAAATTTGTTGTTATAAAGGTGATGTACAGAAGGGTTACAGTTACATAAGTCAGGTAAAGAGTACTTTTATCAGTTGTGGGGCTTGAACTCAGGGCCTGGATACTGTCCCTGAGCTCTTTTACTCAAGGCTAGCACTCTACCACTTTGAGCCACAACTCTATTATTGGCTTTTGAGTAGTTAACTGGAGAGAAGGTTCTCATGGGGACTTTTCTGCCCCAGCTGGCTTTGAACCATGATCTCAGCCTCTGGAGGAGATAGGATTACAGGTATGAGCTACCAGTACCTGCTGGCTACATTTCTTTTTTGACAATGTCACCCCTTCCCTTGCTCACCCTCCATGGGGTTTTTATTATAGCACCCACAAGTAATATTTTTGTATACATCCATATAAATACACCCACCCCAACCAAAACATGTAGCCACTTCTTGGTATTAATATTGATAAACAGTTCGAAGGAATTACACCTTTGGACCTTTCCCCTAAGTGTACCATCATTTAGTCAGTTTGTTTCTGTGTATATGCACAGAGCCCTGTATGTTATCATGCATGTTTTGTATTTAGTTTCCACATATGAGAGAAACATCTACCATTTGTCTTGCTGAGCCTGACTTGCATCACTTAACACAATTTTTATAGGTCTATCCATTTTTCTGCAAATATTTTTCTAACAGATGAGTCAAACTCCATTGTATACATGTACCATGTTTTCTATATAGGGATATTATAACTTCTGTTACAGTATATGGAGACTGTTTCTTTAAAAAGAAAGAAAAGTATAAACTAAGACTTACCTTGAGATTTTTAAAAATAAGGGCTGCATAGTTGATACATACACACACATAGATAGTGATACATACATGACTGTGAAAAATTCATCCCTAAGTAGTTGTACAAAGGGGTTTCAATCCAACATGTTTGTGAGTATAATGCATCTTGATCAATGTCGCCCCTTTCATAAATTACCCCCATCTCTTCCAATCCCACTCATCTCTAACATTTTTAAAAAATATTATTGTCAAGGTAAGCACTAACTTTTTTTAACAAGATGATAAAATAACAGATTATTAGAAAAGAAACATGGCAGAGATAGAGGCACATGCCACAGGAAAATAGCACTTTAGCTTTTGTTGGCCATTTTGGCCATCTTGCTATTTTACTGTTGTTATTAAGGTGTTTTACAGAGAGGTTAAAGGTCAGGCAATGAATAGAATGAGTGCAATTCTTTTCTTTTGGACATCATCCCTTTCTTTACTTTCCTCTGGTTTCCCCCTCCATTCCTGCCACAAGTTACACCGATCATTTTCCACATAGTGTATAATGAATAACATGATTGCATTTATTCTTCCTCCCTCCCTTTCTACGCCTCTCTCTGTACCCCCAAAAGGAAAAAAAAAGCAAGAATGAACAGCACCACCACCAACAACAACAATAACAAAAAACATCTATGTTTCCATTTCCTGCTATATCTTATCTTTAAAGAAAGAATATTGGATTGTCAGTCTTGTATATTTTTATCTTGAATTTTACAAACTCGACATTCATATTTTAAGTCCACTAAATTTTGTATTTCTTTATTGTATTAAAAACTGTGGTGATTACAAGGGAGAATTAACAACAGTAATGCTTTATACTTTTTTTTTTGTTAGTCGTGAGGCTTGAACTCTGGGCCTGGGCACTGTCCCTGAGCTCTTCAGCTCAAGGCTAGTGCTTACCACTTGAGCCACAGCACCACTTCTGGCTTTTTCTGTTCATGTAGTGCTGAGGAATTGAACCCAGGGCCACACGAATGCAAGGCAAGCACTCTACCATTGAGTCACCTTCCCAGCCTATACACATCTTATCTTGTTCATGACCATAAAGTTATTTGCATGTCCAGGAAAGCCTCAAGTCTCACACATACATTTTAAGTGTTCTTTCGTATACCACACCTTGATGATGGTAAAGCAAGCATTACAAAAGTCAAAAGCAAATAGTAGAGCTCTATCTTTTTTAGTCTAAAAGTAATCTTAGGACGGTTATATAGTTCAAAATATTTAAAGGTTTTTATTTCTAAAAATCCTTTGGTTTTCACATTTTGTCCAAGTGGGCTGCAGGCTGCTCCCTCCGTGCAGGGCACAGCCGTCCTTGTTCCTCAATTGAATAGGAAATGGGATTTAGTATACATGATTCAAGTAGAAAAATAGCACTTTAAAACTCAAGCTATTTCTTAGACTGAAAAAGAAAACTCTTTTGGAGTAGTCATGTTTATTTTATAGGAACTTTGCAGCAGAAATATTTAGTATGTTTATTCAGAACTACAGACAGCTTTATCAAACAAAATGCTTACTACTTTCTAGCTGCCTTACAGAAATTATTTACTCCAGAAAACAGAACAAAACTTCTTAGTTTTATGAATAAGCTTTGCATATATTTCTTTGGAGGGGGAAGCAAATAAAAAGTGTAAAAGCTCATATGTGTCTATTTTGTTTCAGTCTGGTGTATTTATTGAGAGTAAATTCGCTGTGTCTTTGCAGCTCATCAATATGAGTATTTAGAAGTCTTTCAAGTTCTTTTGCTCGTTTCTCTTCTTCCAGAAGGAAATGTTGTGCGGCCAAAGAAGCTGGGAAGGATATATCTGGGGGAGACTAAAGAAAGAAGGATAGAAAGGTGAGATGGAATGCAGTGCCTCTTCACATCTACATGTTTTGGGGTATGCATCACCCTGAGTATGGTCAAATATTTCAGCTATTAATGCCTCGAGCTGATCCACCAGTGTAATGTAGTCACAGCTGCTGAACTCAAGGAGTGATGTCCAGCATGACATACCATTGCATTAAAAGGTTCTACAAATGAGCATTTTATCATTGTTATTTTTTGTGGAGAACTTGAACTCTTGCTTCTTTTGCTCAAGGTTGGCATTCTGCCACTTTGAGCCACACCCTCAGTTCTGGATTTCTGCTGGTTAACTGGAGATAAGTCTCCTGGATTTGACTACTAGGGGCTGGCTTTGAATCTCAATCTTCAGATCTTGGCCTCCTATGTGGCTAGGAGGAAATGCTTATGATAGTGGCTAACTGTAAATACAAAAGTGTTATCTGCTTCTGACACACCCTATTCATCTAAACAGCCAATAAGCTTATTGAAAATAAGCAAATCCCAAAGGCTTCAGGGTAGATTACAGCAGAAGTGAGCAAAGAAGGCTCATATCAACAAAAGCAGCACTGGCTTAAGAAAAGTGACATAAAAGACACTTAAGACACAGAAGCAGGTCGGTGGTGGAAAGCAGCTCTATGGGACAGGGGGTTGAGATGCTGGGGTGAACCATACAATACACACCCTACTTTATCTGAGAAAGCACAGTAATGAGGGTTCCAATTCTACCCTGGTGCTGATGTAGAAATGCTGCTTAACTGTCACTTACTTGGTGTTTGCATTAAAAAAAAACCCTGTAACTATGAAGGATAGTTTTAAAGAAGTTGAGAAAATTTGTACTGTACTTTTCCAGTTCTGTGAGCTCTTTAATCTTTGTTCATTTTGCTAGGAAGAATGTATTATGACTTGACTGAAGTGTCACGTCAAAAGCTACCTGAGTTCACCATCTAGTCCCTTCCAAAGCGAGGGGCCATGGTGGATGATGGTTGAATCCCATCTTGGCTGCTGGGCCAAGTGCAGTGCTTTCTCTGCATGCGTTAGAACGGATTCCATAGCTGTGAACACAGCAGTGGGTCTGGCAAACATCAGAGCCCAGTCAGCCTTCCCATGAGGTGGACCACAGTGAATGCCTCTGGCCTTGCCTGACCTTGTGCTGATGATGGTGTCACCAAGAATGCTGGAGGAGTCTGGATCATCTGCATGTCAAATGAGTAACACCAATATCATGTTAATAATGCCAATAAGCAGGAAGTGGCCAGTATGTCCAAGGCATAGAAAGACACAAGTACTCTAGAGGGTAGAAGATAAATCCCTCATAAGATCCAGGAGTGTGGCATGCTATTTCTATGTGTCCACGAGTGTGAACCATGCCAGGAAGGCACCTGGAATATTGAGTAGAATAATCTGATCCACGTATTGGGTAAGACTGAAGGATGGTTTTTGTCTTTCTTTTGAACAATCCTAGAATAAGAAAGAGCTCCACAATGTAAATCCCATACTAGAATGTCTAGTATAAAAATATGTCTTGTTTCAGTAAACAGGCTGTGCTGTAGATGCTTCATGGTTAGAGCAAAGTCCTGCCACCTGTAACAGAAGGCTGTAGACTATTTGCAAAATACTTCCTTTGAGTCCTGGATGAGACAGGGCATCAGGCAGGTGGACAGGATGACTTATCCATCTTCTGTCCTTAGCCACACAGTGGACAGTTTCCCATATTGGAACCAACAGTAGGGTTTCTGCTTCATCAAGAATGACCTGACTTGTGCTGCTACTCCAAAGGTGACCTGCTTACAACAGAAAACAGCTGAGCTCCTGGGAGGCCCTGCCCCTCCGGGAGACCCATGTGGTAGACTGTTCTTTGAGAAAGGGTTTCTCTAAGATTTTTTTTTTGTGTGGGATGGCTCCAAATTGTGATTGTCTTATCTATCTCTGCCTCCAAATTATCTGTGAATACAGGCATCAGCCACCACCATATCTACATAAAAATTCTAAACAAAATAGTAATAGACCAAGTTAGGTTTATTCTAAATATGAAAAATTGAATTAATCTAAAAATCAGGATAAAAATTTATATTAACAGAGCAAAGAAGAAAAATTATATGTGGAGGGAGAAAAGGTATTTGATAAAATTCTATATCATATCAAAATGTTGTATATATATCTAGAAACAAAGAATGCTCTTAATTTTCAAAAAAGGCTCTACAAACACACCAAGGAAATATCATACACCAAGTAAGCTAGAGAAGACTTTCCTTTTGTGACTGAGCTCAGAGAAGGTATTGGTACACTGTTTCTCAACACTGTCTTGAATCAGTAATGTAAGGGAAGGAAAGGAAAAGTATATAAAGATTAGAAAGTAGGAAATCATGCTGGAATTATTTTTGATGTGAATATAGAAAACACCAAATAATATAGGGCTGGAATAAATTGTTCAGGGTATTGAACATTTCCATGCCAAGAAGAGTTATGCAATTAACTTTGCATCATATAAAAATTAATTCTAGTTGAATTATGTATCAAATATGAAAATTAAAGAAACAAAGCATAGAGTATTTTTACAATCTAATAATTTTCAATGGAAATCTTCAGAAAGTTTTTAAAAGAATACCAAAAAGTACTAACTATAAAGGGAAGTATACAAATTAGAATTTTATCAAAAGATATAATTAGTTGGATGCCAATGGCATATGCCTGCAATTGTAGCTACTCAGGAGTCTGAGACCTGGAGGACTGTGGTTCAAAGCTAGTTCAGATAGAAATGTCTGTGAGACTGTATTTCCAATTGCAAAATGCTAGCAAAATGCTAGATTGGAAACATAGCTCATATGGTCAAGTGCTTAGCCATGAGCAAGAAAGCTGGAAAGTATGTGTTCAAGTCCAAATCCTGACACAAAAAAATCACCCAATGAATAGTAAATGCATAGAGAAGAGACAAGTAAGAATATAAGTGTATATTTATATATATACATATATATGTATATATATATCCAGAATATAGAAAAAAATCCTCTAAAGCAATGTGAATAAAATAGTGTAATTACAAAGTAGGCAGGAACTTGGACAGGTTACAAAGATATCAAAATGACTAATAAACATATAAAAAGGTGCTCAGCCTTAGTCAGTGGAGAAAAACAATTTAAAACCACAATTACATGCTACTACTATGTACTGACCATAATGGCTAAAATAAAGAAGAGTAGTAATTAGGACAAGTTTTTGAAAAATCACAGAGCAGGGAAAATGCTCACATACTATGTGCTGGAGTCTTCATTGGTTCAGATAGAAAGTATGGTAAAGGTGATGATTCCCACACCCTCTGAGCCATCCCAAAGACCTCTTGCACATGGGCATCAAATGATACACACAGGAAAAATTTTAGCAGCATTTCTTGTGATAGACGTCAAACTTGAAGTAATTTAATGTCCAGAGGGAAGAAGAATTATAACATGTTTGTGTTTTATGTACAATGGAATACTACAGAGAAACAAAACCTAATTAACAAGCAGCTATATAAAATGATGATGAATCCCCAAATCAAGGTTGAGTAGCAGAAGTCAGACACAAAAGGATATCTAAAGGATACAATTTATATATAATTTTCCAATGGACAAATTCATGGATGGCATTGAAAGGCAGAAGCACAAGGAAGTAAGAACTTTAGTCAGAAATGAGTGGGGCTGACATGTACAAGACATTATGTCGAAAAACGAACTTTACAACTCTGGCGAGCGGGGGTGGGTGGGGAGATGGGTAGGGATGGGGGGGGGGGGAAGGGAAGGGGAAACAAAGGAGGCAGAAACAATGCTTGATAAGAAATGTACTCATGACCTTGCTCATGTAATTGTAACCCCTCTGTATGGTATTTTCACAATAAAAAAAATGAGTGGGGCTTGTGAGTGTGGAAAAATATTCTGTGTATTACATGTTTTTTTTTGTGTGTATCTGTGTGCATATCTGTACTGGAGTTTGAACTCAGAACCTTGGCTCTACTTAAGTTTTTGGCTCAAGGCTGGTACTCTACCACATCTGGGCCACATCTCCATTTCTGGCTTTTTGCTGGTTAACTGGAGACAATAGTCTCTCAGATTTGTCCATGATTATCAGATCTCAGCTTTCTGATTATCTAGAATTATAGGCATGAGCCACCAGCACTTGGCAACACATGCTTTTTAAAATGCCTCTAACAGGGGCTGGGAAGATGGCTCAGTGGTAGAGTGCTTGCCTCACATGCATGAGGCCCTGGGTTTGATTCCCCAGCACCACATAAGCAGAAAAAGTCAGAAGTAGCACTGTGGCTCAAGTGGTAGAGCGCTAGCCTTGAGCTGAAGAGCTGAGGGACAGTGCCTAGGCCCAGAGTTCAGACCCCATGACTGACAACAAAAAGCCATTAACAACCAATTATAGCTCTTAAAAATACAGGGCTTAGTTTTAAAGGCTGAATATTAAAAAATCATCACCAGAAATTCTATCCTGCACTAGAAGTTCAAAACTATTGACTGAAATCCTTCATGCATTTTGTAGACAGATATGGCTGTCTATAATGATGCCCACCCCATGGCAGAGCCCTATTCAGGAAGTGACACTTAAGTTATACCGGGGAACTTTATCAAGATTCAGGTAACCAGCCCTCAGGAAGAGAATGGCAGCAAGCAGCAACTCACCAGAAGTAACACTTCGTCATCACTTACGAAAGGACTGGTCATCTCTCTGGTCTGGAATGGCATAGGTGACAGTGGAGACATAGCACTTGTATCTGGCTCACAATCTTGGTTAAGTCTAAAGAGAAGGAATGGTTGTCATTGCCCATACTAAGGACACTTGCTCACATAGGCAAGGATTTTAATTTCTCTGAGTTCCAAAGAGAAGGAAACACAAGTTGTCTGAGCTTGTTAACTGGATATCTTCTTGAAGATTATTTTCATAAATTATCTCTACTTTGTTTCAAAGACTGAGCACAGACCCTAGTACTTCTTAAAGGTGTTCAGTTATCCTTCCTACCCAGATTACTCTCCTTCCTGGGCCATCTGAATGGCCTTCTTGGCCATTCAAATAACTGAAGGCAGTTTCAGAGAAATCTCAAAAACAGTTATCACAACTGCACCGACAGTTCTAAACAGACATTATTTTTCTTTCCCCACCCTCCCTTATTTTCTCCCACTTCCCCCACCCCCACCCCCTCAAGTTGTAAAGTGCACTTCTAACATAGTGTTTAGTGGGTATCACTGTTGAATTGGTTCATCCTTTGCCCCACCATTTCTGTGATTCCCCTTCCCCTCCCCAAATCAGATAAACTTATATACAAGACAAAGGATACAGTGACACGGGGAATAAACCAAAGAGAAAGAAAAAAGAAATAACTGCAAACAGTACAATAAAACCCCCAGTTGTTTCCATTTCTTGGAGTTCATTTCGATAAGAATGATTTATATGATCATGTGCACATAGCTATTGAGCCACTGTGATCCTAAGAATATCATCCTTTGTTTTGTGGGAATGGTTAGAGTGCTGTTTAATTAGTCACGTCCAAGTATAGTTATTTGTCTTTCACTATCCATTGGATTAACTTGTAGATTTATAGACATCTTCTAGTTATTACAAATAAGGGAAACCATGCAACCTATGTTTATTTGGTTCTGGCTTACTTTCCTTAATATAATTTTTTCCAAGTCTTTCCATTTCCTTATGAATGGGGCAATGCCATTCAGATTTCCATTGTATATATATATAGCACATTTTCTTGGTCCATTCATCCACTGAAGGGCATCTGGGTTGATTCCATATCTTGTCTATGGTCAATAACACTGCAATGAACATTGTTGTGATGGTGGTATTAGTGTGAACTGGTTTGTGGTCATTTGCGTAAATGCCCAGGAGTGGGACTGCTGGGTCTTAGGGGAGCTCTATGCGTAGTCTTTTGAGGAACCTCCATACTGCTTTCCTAAGTGGTTGAAAAAGTTTACATTCCCACCAACAGTGTAGTAACGCACCCTTTTGGCCACATCCCCACCAGCATCTGTTATTATGAAAATGGCAATACTGCCCCAAACTATCTACAAATTCAATGTAATACTAATCAGAATTCCAACAAAATTCTTCAATGATATAGAAGAAGCAATCCACAAATTTATATTTTTATTAATAGAAGACCTAGCAAAAACAATCCTTGGCAGGAAGAACAGTGCTAAAGGAATATCAACACCAAACTTCAAACTCCATTACAAAGCCGTTACAGCTTGGTAATGACACATGAACAGGCCTGAGAACCAATGGAATAGAACTGAAGACACAGAAATGAACCTGCAGACGTATGGCAATAAATACATGAAGAAATGCTCAATGTCTCTGGTCATGAAAGAAATGCAAATCAAAGCAACATTGAGATTCCAGCTCACCCCAGTTAGGAAGGCCATTATCTAGACATTCTTTTTAAATGCTCAAACATATTTCACAGGCTTTCTTGATGCTGAAAGAGGTCTTTGTGTAATCATAGGTTCTCATAATTTACAACATATTTCAATTTACATCATTTTACTAGTTGCACAATCTTGATCAGTTGATGTTAGCTTTCTGTGATGTTAATAATCTCATTATGAGGGTGGTTGATGTGAGTTGACTAACACAAGCAAACACTTAGAAATAATACCTGGCAATACTCAACACTCTAAGTCAATTAGGTGTTATTTTTAAACTCAGTTGATCTTATAACCCTAACAAGGTGGACATTATCCACAGATGAGGAAACAAAGACTGAAAAGTTAACTTATTTACAGCTGGGTACAATGGCACACACCTGTAATCCCAATTACTTGTGAGACGGAGATCAGGAGGCTCAAGACTTGAGACCAGCTCAGGCAAAAAGTTAGTGAGATCGCATCTCAGTGAATAAGTAGGACATGCATCTGTCATCTAAGCCACACTAAAGTCTGTGGGCAGGACTGTCATCTAACGCTAGCCTCAGCAAAACTCAGGAAGCTACCTGAAAAAGATGAAAGCAGAAAGCAAGGAGGAAGGAAAGTCTGAGTGCGTGACCTAGGTGGTGATTGCTTGGCTTAACAAGTTATTGTGTTCAAGCCCCAATAGCACCAAAAAGAGAACAACAAAAAGTTTTAAGTTATTTACTCCATCATTTACTATTTAAATAAGAAGAAATTACTAGTAAGTGATAATTTTGGGTTTTAGATCTATTTTCCTGGCTTCAAACAGCACAATTAGGAGGAAAGGCACAGAATGGAATTTGTTGTTTTAGCTAAAATATAAAAAAGAAGATAAAACTTTATTTTATGTTTTAGTTTATTTTGTGCCAGTATTAGAGCTGATACACAGGGTCTGGTGCTCTCCCTTGTCCTTTTTGCGCAAGCTTGCTGCTCTATCACTTGAGCCACACTGCTACCTTTGGCATTTTTTTGGCTAATGAGATAAGAGTCTCATGGACTTTGCTGCCTTGGCTGGTTTTCAATCCTCATCCTCAGATGTCAGTCTCCTCAGTAGCTAGAATGAAAGGTGTGAGCTGCTGGTTCTGAGCTAGCAGACATGACTTTTAAAAAATAAGTGAAATTTTACCTGATCAGTAAAAGAAACAAGTCAACTTTCTCTACAATTTTACAAAGAGGGCCTAACAATACAGAGTGTTTGGGATTAAATCAGTAACTTTTATGAAAATAGGATTACATTTAATCATTTAATTCAAGACCAGGAGAAATATAAAATCTCCTTAGTTTAAAATTAGTTTTACTAATAATTCAGATTTCCCACAGGTAACAATCACTTTCAAAGCCTTTGCATTTTGAGTGTTAAATATCCACACTATAGTTTTCTATTCTTACACTAAGGCCAATCTACACAATTTTAATTAAAAAAATTTTTTTTGGTATGTGTCTCATGTATGTGCCAGTACCTGGCCTTGAACTCAGGGCCTTGAGTTCTCCCTTGGATTTTTTTTTTTCCCAAAGGCTGATGCTGTAGCACTTGACACACCACCACTTTCCATACTTGTTTCTTCCCTTTTGCTGATCTTAGGGCTTGAACTCAGTTCCTGGGTACTGCCCCTGAGCTGCTTTTTCTCAAAACTAGCACTCTACCACTGGAGCCACAGCTCCACGTTCAGCCTTTTTGGTAGTTTATTGGAGATAAGAGCCTCATGCACTTTCCTGTCCATGCTGGCTTTGAACCTCAATCCCCACATCTTAGCCTCCTGAGTAGCTAGGATTACAGATGTGAGGCACTGGTACCAGGATTCTAGCACTTGTTTCTTATTATGTAAATGTTCTGAAATTTATTCTCAGGAAGAACAATAGCAGTTAAGTTACACATCTGTGCATTAGAACATTAAAGCTCATACAACACACTTCCTATTTTTCCTTATCTCTCCCATCAGCACATATCTTAATTACCAGAGAAACACAAAAGCAAATTAAATAGAAATAACATGGTTTATCATTTGCACAATAAAATGAACCATATCACAACTCAAACAGTATGGTAACAACTGCTTTCACCTCTGCATATAGACTCTAACTGAACCTTTTACTTTGAGCAATAGCTTACCTATATTTCAGAGCACAGTTGAAAAGCAAGCTAACTAGAAAAATATTTCAAGAAATACACATCTCTCATATATATTATACAGAGATTTCAGGCCACATTTTTTTGTCAGTCACGGGGCTTGAACTCAGGGCCTCGGTGCTGTCCTTGGGAAAATTTTCTCAAGATTTGTGAGCTCTGAGCCACAGCTCCATTTCCAGTTTTTGAGTGGTTATTTGGAGATAACAGTCTCATGAGGACTTTTCTGCTGTGCTGGCTTTGAACAGCAATCCTCAGATCTTAGCCTCTGAGTGGCTAGGATTACAGGTGTGAGCCACCAGCGCCCAGCCACACATTTTTTTTTTTGGAAGGGAGATTTTTTATTATTATTATTATTTTACATTTCTTTTTTATCGTGAACATACTGTGCAGAGGGGTTACAATTACATGGGCAAGATTAGGAGTACATTTCTTATCAAGCATTGTAGCCTCCTCCTTTGTTTACCCTTCACATCCCTTCCCAGCCTCCTCCGTCCCCCCACCCAATCCTCCCCCCACCACCAAAGTTGTAAAGTTCGTTTTCGACATGACAACTTGTATTTCTCATTGTTGCAACGGGTCCACCTGTATCCTTATTTAAACGACTTGTTTTTCCCCTTCCCCTCCACAAATTATACCGACATCAAATACAGTAAAAGCAGGGGGTATACTGTGGGAGAGGGACATACAAAGCAACAAAGAAATAATCTTATAAATGCCAGCCACACATTGTTTTAAATTATCTAAATAATTACCTGAATTATCCCTTTTGCTACAGATATAATTATGGTGCAAATTACTAAAATTGATATAGGAACATTCTTTTTATGACAATATCAATAAAATATCAAGATTGAAAGACTATGTTATAAAGGACTTTTGTTTTAAATCATCTCCCAGAAAATTTGTCTTCCAGAATACAGATATTCAAATGCTTCATAAAATCACCTTGTATAAAAAGTTACACATGTCCATTTGAAAGTTGTCTTAAAAATTATTCCAGGAGGTTTTTCAATATCCCCCCCCCCCCATCATGTTGATCTGTTCAGCCAGCTTGTCCACAGCTTATCCTGCAAGTCCCTGCCTTGACCTGGCAGGTCACAGTCACTTTGGTTGGAAACACAACCATGCCCACTTGCTCTTGAACCAGCTGTGTGGAGTTCACAGTCCTCTGATGTGTACATCTAATCTTGTCTCCCAAGTTCTTCTCCTTGGCTTCATGGGTCAATGTTATTTGTACAGAACAAGATCTTGTCTTTAGCTCAGAGCCCTACAGCCTGGTGGTTTTGCTTCTTACTGGGCAACAGTAGGGCACAAAAGTTTCACAGCTTGCTTTTGACTTCCTGGATGTTTATTTATTCTTGGATAAGGGACAAATATGTTGATTTTTTGGCTTTTTAGTATTAAAAACTTTCAATTTTCTGGGTGCAGGTGGATCACATCTGTAATCCTACTTAGGGGGCTGAGATATGAGGATCATGTTTTGAAGCCAGCTTGAACAGAAGTCTGTGAGACTCATCTTCAATTAACTACCAAATGCTGGAAATGTAGCTGTGGCTCAAGTGGTAGACCTCCAGCCTTGAGTGAAAAAGCTAAGGGACAGCACACCCAGGGCTCTGAGTTCAAACCCCAGTTTGGGCACACAAAAAAATCACTCCCCCAGACCCCATGCCCAAAACCCCCCCAAACCTTTGAAAATTATTTAAAGCCTTATTAATATTTGTGAATACTAAGATCTTTCCAATACATGATACAATTTTAAAAATTATAAATCTACTTTTAGTGTTTCTCTATATAAGTTTGTTTTTTATGGTTTCTGGCTCAACCAATAGAAAGAGCTGGGGCTGTACATACACAGCCATCAACCAATCAGCATGAAGTCTAGGGGAGGACCTATGGTAGGAGTCCTTCCCAGGGGACTCCACTGGACTGCCAGCTCTGCTCCTCTCTATGGAGAGAGTCTATAGTCTATTTCAGCTTTCAATAGACTTGCAGTTCTACTATAAGAAAGAGAGAAAGGGGAAGAAAGGAAAAGAAAGAAGGAAAGAGAAAGAGAAAGAAGGCAAGCAAGAAAGAAAAGGAAAGAGTGTTATACAATGCTTCCTGCATTGAAAACAAGAATTTCCTTAGACTGCAAATTTTTGTGGAACTTTGTTTTTGCTTTTGTTTTTGTCTAAGAGGTTTCACCTTCTTAAATGAGTTCAAGAAGACCTATTGCATTTCCACTGATATGTAAAGATGTCATACACAGTTGATTAATTTGTGCCTGACAAATATATGTGATTTTATTCCACTGAGCTGTGCCGTGATGGAGGAGGATGCATTTTCTCATTGGTAAAGCTAACAGTCTAGTTCTTCCCTGCTCAGTTCAGTGTCCTCACAGCTCAACAACTCTTCTCCACAGTGGGTTTACAGGGTAATCATTTATTCAGAATATTCAGATGCTGTTTCTTTTAAAAACCAGGTCACTGGAGAACACTGAAATCGGTGGAAGCATTACAACACATTTAATAAAACTTTCAGTAAATGGAAGTTGCAGGAATAGTGTCCCAGACTGCTTATTAAGATAATCTCCTGCTGAGCCTTTGGCCTCCAGGTTGTGTTCTGTCCCGTATGGACTTGCTTTCGTGAGGCACATCTAACGCAGTCTGCACTGCCTGATACAGAGAAAACAAAAGAGGCAAGAGATGCTTTTTGCAAATAATAAAAATCACAGTCTCTTTTTTTGTGTTGGAATAACAACACCTGGTAAGGCGTTCGGAGTACTTCAAAACAGTGTGGGGACCGTGTTCTGCACCAGTGGGCCTCAGGCACACAGAAGACCCTCTGAGCTGCTGTAGGGGCTGGCTTTTCTTTTACACCCACTCAGCTTGGACCCGTGGAGAAAAGCAGGCAGACAAGCAGTTGAAAAGTGTTTATTCTGTATTAGAAAATATATCTTTACACCCACCCCATCTGCCATCAGACTCCTTTGGAAAGATTTTCTTAGATTTCCCCATCAGTGAGAGAATTGCCATGTGGCTATGGTCTCTTCCTCTTGCATTTAGTGCTTCCTCGGACAGCTGTGATTCCCAGCTCCACCTCCACCACCCCACCCCAGTTCCACCTCTACCACCCCACCTCACCCCACCCCTACTATCCCACCCCAGCCCTACCTCCACCACCCCACCCTGCCCACCCCCACCCTAGCACCACCTCTACCACCCTACCTCACCCCACCCCTACCATCCCACCCCACCCCTACCTCCACTACCCCACCCCAGTGCTACCTCTACTACCCTACCCTACCACCCCACCGCAGCACAAACCACCACTCAAGCCCACCCTACCTCCATCACCCCACCCACCTCCACCACTACTCCCTTCCCCCCACCCCAGAGCCACCTCTACCACCCCAGCCCTACCTCCATCACCCCACCCACCTCTACAAAACCACCACCCCAGCACCACCTCTACCACCCCACCCCACCCCACCCCTGCTACTCCACTCCAGTGTCTGGCCTTCTTTCATCTTTCTTGAGCTAATAAACAGTGATTGTTCTCTTAGAACTTTGAGTAGGTGTTGGGTTAAAATCTATCCTCTACTACACATAGGACTCAGGTGAAGAAAGAACAGAGCTGTTCTACAGCTACAGCAGTGTTGGACTGGATTTTGTTTGTTTTGTATTTAGACTATGTAGAACAGGATTGTGTTAGTATGTTAGTTACCAAGGTGAGTCTGATTCTGACAGTCTATCTATCTATGTATCATTTATATATCATCTACTTCCTCTCTCCCTCCCTCTCATTCATTTACCCATCTGTCTATGTATGTATGTATGTATGCATGCATGCATGCATGTATATATGCATGTATGTATCTAGCATAGGTGATTAAATTAAGTTTCATGAATGTTAGACATGTACTGTACCACTGAACCACATCCCCAGCAGACATAATTAATGAATTTATTTATTGCAGTTTTAGTAGAACTATCCTTGAGGAAATGGCAGATCCAACCATTTGTCTGCTCACCAGCATTATTACTGCTATCAAAAATAGTCTCAATCTCCTGAGTCTTTTATTACTTTAGGATAGTAATAACAGTAATAGTGGGGAACACTTATACCATTAAAAGTTTTATGTGATAATCTTCACTGAAATCCTATGATTTTTTTAAACCCTTATTTGACAGACAGGAAACCAAGGCTGACAAAGGTTAAGAAAATTTTTTGAGGTTGTAGATATCTATTCAGTCAGGCATTACAAAAACAATCTAGAAGGTTCTCTTGCTTAGCATTATGAGCTGCTACTAAATTGGTGGAGTGTGGATTATTCCTTTACTGTTGGGTGGTGCATGCAAGGCTAGAAACTCTGTTACTGAGCAGATCTGGTGAGTGCCCCATACCAGAGGCCTTCATAAAACACTCAATGTATATAGCTGATTAATGACCCAGAGAACCCCAATGAAGGAAAACTGGCTGTTTCATTAAGCATTTTCTAAGTGTAGTTTAATAGTGAATGCCCCTCAGAGATAGGTTCGATCTTATCAATTTTTTTTGATTAAAATTGGATTAATTATTTCATGGTGGATATATTTACTTAGAAGGTGAACTAAGACATTTTAAAGAGCATGGGAGTAAAATGGATAACAGATATTGATTTCTTATAGACTTCACTAAAAGAAAACCTCTCACATTCCCATAGACCCCATCCCTATGAAAAGACCAAGGTGTGTTGCCATGGCTACCATATGTCCATATTAACTGCAAGATAAATCAGTCGTAATGTATTCCCACATGCTCTATATGTGTGAGCAATATGCGCAACACATTACATTCTAGTTTGTTCTCATGTTCCTAGCGCATGACATGTAAGATTATATATTTATGTGCTTGTGTACAATATACCAGCTGACAATGGTCTGAGGTGCCAAGCTCCCTCCACCCTGTGGCACTCTACCCAACTCACTGTTAGATCATGAAACACAAGTTTCTTCTGAAAGACACTGTACCTATACCACGATATTATCTATCAATGTAAAATGAATTTTGAGCAACTAAAAAGAAAATACATAATTATGCTTTGAATTGCTTAAAAACAAATTTCAATGTGATGTTTTAACTTTCGGGCCTGTATAAAGGAGCTAGCTTACCTATCTTCAGTTTTCTCCATTTTTATTTGGCTTTGATAGGCATATCTCCCTGGTTCTTCATAGGTGTTTTGGGTGGACCATGCTGGTTTTCCAGTGACATGCAGTTTTGCAAGATCATTTCGGAGCTTTTCATTCTCATATTCTAATTTGTTGATAGATGAATGTCTTGAATGTTCCCTGTGAGTGAAGTCCATACTCTAGAGGAGAAAATGAGCTATCACTGAATATATCAACCCTTATCAACCATGTGTGTTTTCTGCATTTGGACACGAGAAGGAAAGGCCTTTTCATTTAGGCCCAGTGATGTGGCAACAAAAGCAATGCAGGTAACACTGCCTGTGGCCATTGTAGGGAAGGGTAACACAGTGCATTACTGCTCTCTACAATAAGATGGCTAGGTTTAAAGTTTGTGTCTATTGGGCACACCTTAAATTAATAATTGAAATCATAGGTGGGGACCGGAGGGAAAAACTGGGAGGAAGCAAGGGAAGGGGTGATATTGTTCAAAAAGAAATGTACTCATTACCTGACTTAGGTAATTGTAACTCCTGTGTACATCACCTCTACAATAACAATTTTTTTAAAAGGCATCTCAACTTCATATGTTGAAGCCATAATTCTCAAAGTTTATTGTATTTGGAGATAGAGCCTATTAAAAGGAGGTGATTAAGGTAGAAAAATAGAAATTACATGGTTCAATTTTAAAACAACATTCTTTGACTAAAATGATTCACATCATTGTAGAAAACATGGAATAACATTTGAGAACAAAATAAATGTTTTATACTATCCCCATCCAGGGATAACTGATACTAGTAATTTATATCCTTTTTGTCTTTTCATATTAATAAAAAAGATGAACAAAAATGTCAACATGATTATATGGTTACTTACAAAATTATAATCAATGTATCAATATGAAATAGAACACTGTAAATATAAAATACAATATGGATACTTACAAAATTATAATCAGTCTAGGTGCAGTGGCTCCTGCCTATAATCTCAGCTACCTGGGAGGCAGAGATCAGGAGGATGGAGATTTAAGGCCAGCCTGGGAAAATGTTAGCGAGACCTATCTCAACAAATAAGTTGGGTGTGGTACTATGTACTTATGATCCCAGCTATGTGAGAGACGGCAGTTCAGCCCAGCCTAGGAACAGTATAGAAGACCCTAACTGAAGAAAAAAAAAGAAACTAAAAACTAAAGCCCAAAGAGCTGAACAAAAATATGAAAGGACCTATTTTATCATACTCCTAACAACTTAATATCACTATCATTTTAACTTTGTCAACTTGATAAACAGTAATATTTGTATATTTCCAAAGGTGAGTATATTTTGATTTTTCCCCAGCATTTGACTCTATCTTTTGTCAACGCTCTATTTTTCCCCTTTGGGTTCTGTGTTTTATTAATTTGCAAGGAAATTAACATCAGGGAAAGAAATTTATTGTTTTTCCTATTGATCAATGCTTTCTGTGTGAATTTTAAGTTTCTCTGGTTTTGTTTTGTTCCATTTAGTGAAATCTGTGAGTCTTTTCCCTTTGTGATGATTTCCTCACTTTTATATTTCACTCTTCATTTCATTGTAAAACTATTTTTTCTTTTTCATTGTAAAACTATTAGAGATCAAGTACTTTCTTCTATTTCATTATTTTACACATAATTTTTTTGGAATTAATTTTGGATAAAATGAGAGAAGACATGAAAATAATAAGTTTTCCAAATATTCAAATTACATATTGATTAAAACATCCATTTGCCATGCTGGATGCTGCAAAAAAAAAAAGATGTTATATCCATATCAACAGGGATTGACTCTGAACCATTCTGTTCTATTGACAGTCCAGTTGAGATTATGCCAGCCCCAGCCAACAGAACTTTGAGCTTCAAATTTTACTATTTACTAAGCAGCACTCAATTTCTAAGGCTTCTTCAGAAAAATGAAACATGTTTAAATCACAAAAGAGAGGTTTTGAATAAGACTAGAGATCTCAGAAGCTGTTTGCTAAAGGCTGTAAGAAGTTTGCTGGGGAGTGTCTTAATATTTCTTTTCAGGAAGATTTTAAGGAAGGAAGAAAATAATTCACATGCACATTAGGCACACAGGATCAGGACAAGCAGGTGGTTATAATTTGGGGATTATGTAAAGAAGTGAGGAGATGAAAGCAAGCAAGCTTTACATCTTCAGGTATAGCAAATTGGGAAGGAGAGTATGTGAGGAGTGGTGATGGTGACATCTTAGTGCCGCTGAAGGCCACAAAATCTCTGATGATTGAGAGCCTAAGAGCCTAAGACTTCTTTCAGGTAGATAGGTGTTTGGAGGTGGGGTATGGACACAGAGCTTTGTGTTCTGTTCCTCAGTTCAAAATAATCCTTATGACAAAGTGACAGATTGGAGGAACATATTCTGATCTACTACGCAGTCAGGTATTTTCAGAAAAGTTGCAAGTATACTTGGCAAAATTTTATTTTTCCTGCAAAACTATTCGAGTGACTTGTTGACCTGATGCCCTTTCACATATCAAATTTTAGTGGATTTTCTGCACTAAGGACATAACCTACTAAAACCACAGCACAGCTATAAAAACCAACAGCCACAAAACAAAGATGAACATTGATCATGATCCTCATTCAAAACTTAGATCCCACATTTTGATAGTTGTCTGAATACTGTCTTTGCCTCCTTGAGTCTAGAATTGTTGCTCAGCACCTCTGACTTAGATATTAACCCTAGAAAAATCACAGGCCAGTTATATTCCAATGAATAAGTATTTAGTGAGGGTTACTTTGGAACTTCAACTAATGTATTCCACACCGACCTTTTTTTTTTTTTTTTTTGAGACAAGGTATACTCCAGGCTGGACTGGAATTCTTGTTTCTCCTGCCATAGCCTCCACCCCAGGGCTGGAATTGAGTAAAGAACCTTCATATCTAGCATCATCGAACTTTCATCTCACATATTTTGAATATCAGCTTATACTTAGTGGTAGTCCCCCTTCAAGCTACCTTCCATATCTTTTGACATGTTGCCGTTACCAGCATTCCTTCAGGGCTTTCTTGCTTTTTGAAACAGTATGTTTTTCAGGGGCCTGTTGTACTTTCCCTGTCCCAGTCCAGTCATTTCTCCATGGAGTCCTTGTACACTGCTGAGTTCAGGAGCCAGCACCTGAGGGCTGGGTGGGTGTCCTCATTACCACCGACCGCTCACTTCTTCAGACTGCATTCACCTGAGGCTTCAACACGTCGAAACAAGACTTTGCTATCTTCTGACTTTTATAGTGAAAATTTCCAATATTATTTCTACAATCATGTTTTCATGTTAAAAATGTTCAATTCTCTTATCTCTCTGATGGTAATAACTCTAGTTAGTTGTGTTCTCTTTTGCCTTATCACTTCTGTTTCTGGATTCCTCCAGACTGTTTATTGCATCTTCTGTCTCTCCTGTTTGAAGCTTCTCTCCACATCTGACAGGTTTTAGCCTTCTGTTCCCATGTATAAAAAGGCAATGGCTTCTGCAGCAGGTACTGAGTCTGTAGTGGTAAATGATGGAAGCCAGGACAGACTCTACAATAGTCCAAACTCCCATGCTGTTCAGGAGAGGGGAAACCTAACTGCCTCAAATCTGGCTTTTGTAATAAGGTGTCTTAGTTTACTTGTGCTGCTATAGCAAAATTCCACAGACTGGATAGTGTAAAACAATAGAAATTCATTCCTCACAGTTTTAGACTCAAGGTACCAGTAACGGTGTCTGTGAAGTCTTCTCTGTTGTATTCTTACATGACAGAATTGGCAAATGATCATCAAGCAGAATTTTTTTAAAAAATAGGCTACACTCTCAGGGCATCATGGCTCATGCCTATAATCCAAGGCGCCTGGGAGATAGAGGTCAGGAGGATAACAGAAAAGTTCACAAGACTCCCTTCTCAACCAACAGCTGGGTACAGGGGTGTGTACTTGCCATTCCAAGGTATGCACGAAGTGGAGATGAGGAGGGTTGTGGTCTAAAGCCAACCTAAGCAAAAAGTTAGCAAGACTCCATCTCAAAAGAACAGTGTGAGCCTGCCCCAGGCAAGCAAAACCCTATCGGAAGAATGCTGAGAGAAAGATGAAGTGTGTGTGTGTGTGTGTGTGTGTGTGTGTGTGTGTGTGTGTAAAGGTCAAAATTTTGCATGACAACTTTTCCTTCCCACAAGCCAGTCAGGGAGTGTTCCATGGAACCTCCACTAGTGCTGGCCAAGTACCATTTGCAAAAGGAGGGCCGTAAAAGTATTTCTGTTTGTTAGACCATTGCCTTTACGATTTCATAGTATTTACTCTTTTTTTCAAGTTTTAATAAAATTATTTTTATTAAAATGCTTAATAAAAATGTTAAGAATTTCCAAATTTAGGATTTTATGTGTAATAAAATGATAGTATTTACTCTTTTGAAACACCAATGCAAATAAAAAAGCAATCACTAGTTCTTCACTTTACAAGAAAAGGGGCTGTTTATTGTAAAACTGGAGTAGGTTTGTAATAACTATAAAAGAGGCAGTCATAACACTTTGTCCTCCAAAATGAAAAAAAATTGATATGCTCAGATCTGGCTAAAAATGGTCAACTAGAATCTTTGGGTAAAACTTAAAATTTGATTCTAAATAAGACATTTATGAGTAAATATTATATGATTTTAAAGGTCTGATGCTCAGTTAAATTGGATACAATATTCTTCTACAAAATTAGATCTTATCTATGACTATGTTTGGGCCAGTATTGGTTTGAAGGAATTAAAAATGAAAATAATGATTTTTATTTATTTATTTTTTTTGGGTCCGGTCGTGGGGTCTGAACTCTGGGCCTGGGCACTGTCCCTCAGTTCTTCAGCTCAAGGCTAGCACTCTGCCACTTGAGCCACAGCGCCACTTCCGGCTTTTTTCTTTTTGCTTATGTGGTGCTGAGGAATCGAACCCAGGGCCTCAGGCATGCAAGGCAAGCGCTCTATCACTGAGCCACCTTCCCAGCCCCGAAAATAATGATTTTTAAAAACCTCACAATTTTCTAATAATACCATAATAAATATTAGGAGAATTAACTAAAATTTATTTACCTTTATATAGGTACTTTATTTACATTTCTATTTAAGAGCATATTGCATTTTTCTTAATAACAATATTTTTGAGCTCTTTTGTTTCATTCTTTTAAATGTGTTTCTAG